TCTACATGGTCCCTCTTTATGTGGCATGTATTTGTGTATTTCCTGTGTGCAGTGGTCTGAGTATTCCACTACTTTACAAAGGAGGAGAAGGAGAGGGAAGAAGAAAGGGGGGGCTTCCCTGGTGGTGCAGTGGTTGAGAGTCCACCTGCCGATGCAGGGGACACGGGTTCGTGCCCCGGTCCGGGAAGATCCCACATGCCGCAGAGCGGCTGGGCCCGTGAGCCATGGCCGCTGAGCCTGCGCGTCCGGAGCCTGTGCTCCGCAACGGGAGAGGCCACAACAGTGAGAGGCCCGCGTACTGCAAAAAAAAAAAGAAGAAGAAGAAAGGGGGAAGAGACAGCAGGTTATGTGTAGTAGGAAATTGCCATGTAGGAATGTTGTGGATATACTTTCATAAGTCAGAGAAATCATCATGCTTCAATTTCAGCTTCATACGCTCAGGGTTTACGGGTACTTTTGTTGTTGTTTTTTCAAAATAATAGGGTGGCTTAAACTAAGATAAGCCCTCCCCAGCCTACTTTCTGAGCAGTTCACTAAGTATTTTTTCTAGTAAATCTGCTAACCTGAAGAACTGCACCGAACATGTACTGCTTTTTCATTCTCAAGTGTGTTGGGAGTAGAAGGACATCCTATCCAGCTAGGAGTTGTAGCAGTAGCATCTCCTTTCTGGACCCACACGTGTTCTACTTAGTTACAAATGTCAAGAGAAGGTCTTTCAATAATCTGTAAGCTTGTTTAGGGCCTTTTTTGGGGTGAACCCTGAAAACTTTCATTGTTCGAGTTGTAGTGTTTGGCCCCAACTCATTATTTTGAAGACACAAGTGCCCAGTTTTAAAATTACGCCCCTCCCCCCATGCCATCCGGGCCTGGCACTGCTTCTGGGCTGGCCTCTTCAGCGTCTTTCAGGGTGGAATTTGAGATCTCCTCTGGCTGCCTTGTTTTCAGGCTGCTGTGAGCCTCCAGAAGCTGACTTGAGGAGTCACCGCCAGGCCAGTGCACTCTGGCACCTCGTCTGCTTTAGTGTTCTGTCTCCCTGAGCACATGTGAGAAGGAAGGCACTTCCTCTGCTCTGTCGCTGCCTCACCCCCACTTAAGATGTGGGCAGGGAAGGTCCCTTGTTGTCACCATAAGGGTCATACTGGGACTGGACAGCCCTGTGACTGCATTATGCCACTTCAGTTACAGGAAACTCCCCACTGGCCTGTACCCAGTGTCTTTGGTGAAGAACTCGTCTTAGGACCACTCACCGGTAGAGGGGCTGTGTCATGGCCATAAGCACAGGAGCCCATGGTGATAGAGGACAGACAGTGACAGGTTGGGATGCGGCCTGAGCAGGGGCAGCAGGCCCAGGCTGCGGGCGGGGCGCTTTCCAGTTAAAGTGCATGTTCTCTCCACGTGAACCTGGAGGACTTGGGCCTCTCCTCGTGCAGCCCGTGTCCCCTCTGCCAGGCAGGGGCCAAGGAGACAAAAACAGATAGGACTGTTTCTTACCTGAGCACCGAGCTGTGCTTTGACTGGATGAAGGTCATCTAAGATGGAAGTGTCTCTGTGATCACTCTCAATATGAGTAGAATGAACATGGAAATAAAGTATTGTGTATTTAGAAAGGTGCTCTTCCGGGTACCTTTCGGGCTTTGAAAACTGCTTTTCGGTGAACTGGCGGTTGTCAGCTGCCGGCTCTGGACACAGCCTTATGTGCCGTCTCTCTCAGTCTTTCCTAACCTGTGCCTCAGGAGGATTGGAAAGTCTGACATCCTCTCAGAAATCTGGCTTCAGTAGGGAGAGTGGGGCTCTGGCCAGGTTACAAACGGTCGGCTCTGAAGGAGATGAGGGTGTTGGCACAGTCGCCGGGTACGTGCACATTCTAAGGGTGCCCTTCTGCCTGTGAGAGAGAAGCCAGGCTGAGAGTGAAAGACCTTCTGGCTGGTGTGTTTGTGTTTGGGCTGGAAGGTCATGGTGAATATGGAAAGCTGCCCCCTCCTGTGATGGTCTGTTGGGCCTGGGGTGAAGGAGGGTAAGTTCTGGGATCTGACTTTGTCTTGGAATTCGGGTGCCCACTTGCACATGTGTGCCTGTCATTGCGTGGTTCTTTTGCCATCGTTCTTTAGTTGAGTTCACACAGCTGCCTCTCCAGAAAGATGGCATTCTAATTATAATTGCTCAGGAATCAATGAAGAATTAGTGGAATTTTGTCCTGCCTCAGCAGATGCAAGCGTACAGGCTCCTCCCTTTTCCTTTGCCCTGCTTGTAAAGAGAGTGAGCTTGAGTGTGGCGCTTCCAAGGCACTTTGACTCCCTCTGATGCCGTGATGCTCTTCTGTGTGGCCTGGTGATGGGCTTCTTGGATGAACGGCCTTCCGCACCCTCCTCTAGGCGATGGGGTGCAGGGGGCCTGCCTCCACGCCACTTGCTCTCTCTTCTAATTATGTCGTCTCTTGTCTCTCCACCTTGTCTGTAATCACCAGCTAGTTAACTGTTCCTTAAATATTTGCGAGATTATGTTTAACTCCTAGATGGCGATAACAGGAAAATGCCAACCTTCTCCTTTCTTCTTCCAGTACTTGATTCTTGGCGATCTCAACCCTCCACGTTTCTCCAGGAATAGGCATCGAAACTATTACAGAGTGGGGTGACACTGATTCTGATTATATGGAGTATGCCTTATTTTTCTTTTAATTCGTATTTCAGAAGTAATACACGTTCATTGTAGCAAAGTAAGAAAAAGCAGAGAAGCAAAAACAAGAAAATAAGGGGTGTTTCATAGCCATATTTTTTCCTATACGTGTGTTCTTGGTTTTTTTTGTTTCCAGAACATACTGTGTATACACCAGTGTACCATCTGGGCTGTTTTACCACTTAACATTGTATTGTCTTTCCACGCTATCATATATTCTTGGGAGGTTTTGTTTTGTTGTTTTTTTGCCGTGTGTGGGCCTCTCACTGTTGTGGCCTCTCCCGTTGCGGAGCACAGGCTCCGGACGCGCAGGCTCAGCGGCCATGGCTCACGGGCCCAGCCGCTCCGCGGCATGTGGGATCTTCCCGGACCGGGGCACGAACCCGTGTCCCCTGCATCGGCAGGGCGGCCTCTCAACCACTGCGCCACCAAGGGATCCCTCTCGTGAGATTTTAATGGTAATATGATGGTCCCTTGTTAAGTCTGTCTTAGTTTATGTCATCAGCGCCTAGTACTGAATATTTAATTATGGAATATTGAGTCGTCTGATTGCCTGCTGCCCGGAATGCTGCAGTGAACGTTCTTCGTGGCTTAATGTTTGTACACATCCGTGTCATTTTCCTTGGGCTAGATTACTGTAAAACGTATGCAAATATTTAAAGCTTTTTATGTATACTGACAAGTCATCTTTTAGAAAAGCTATCCAAAGCATTACTTCCATCCATCATAGTAACTCTTTGCCTTACCACACTTGTCGGGATTCCTGTGTGGGGTGTTTTGAGTTGCGAGAGGCTTTGCAGTCTGATTTGGGGGCACACTGCTGTATTACCCACCTTCTTCCATTGCTGCCTCCTCTGTAACTTTAGAAATGGATGTTCATCCTGAAAGCCTGAACTTCTCATGTGACACAGGTAGGTCCTACCCAGGTGTGCATCAACAGGGCAATGAATGAAGAGATTGTGGGTTTATCCATATACTGGAATACAACTCAGCAACATCACGGAACACACTACTCATGCACACAGAGACCTGGGTGTTTACACTGAGCAAAAGAGGATCGACGAATAGAGATAGAGAGTGGATTAGTGGTTGTGGGTCCGGGAGGGCTGGGGAGACATGAGGAGGGACCACGGAAAGGTCCAGAGTTTGTTTTGGAAGTAATAGTGAGTCCTGAAATGGATTGTGTTGGTGGTTGCACAACACTGTGAACAGACTAAAAACCATTGCATTGCACACTTTAAATGGCTGAATTTCGGGCTGCCCTGGTGGCGCGGTGGTTGAGAGTCCGCCTGCCGATGCAGGAGACGCGGGTTCGTGCCCCGGTCTGGGAAGATCCCACATGCCGCGGAGCGGCTGGGCCCGTGAGCCGTGGCCGCTGAGCCTGCGCGTCCGGAGCCTGTGCTTCGCAGGGGAGAGGCCACAACAGTGAGAGGCCCGCGTACAGAGGAAAAAAAAAAGGCTGAATTTTATGGCCTAAAGCTGTTCAGAAAAAGAAGATGGACACCAAAGAGTACATACTGTATGGTTCCACTTATTTCAAGTTCTAGGCAGAAGTGATCCAAGAAACAGAAGTGATCCAAGAAACAGAAGTGAAAAAGTGGTTGCGATGGGGCAGATTGACTGGAGAAGGTGGTGGGAACGTTCTGTATTTTTGAGTGATTCTTGTATGGTGTATGCAATCACCGAAACTCATCACATTGGAGGAAGATGCATTCTAGTTGAAAAAACCAAGTAGGCCCTAATCACCTTTTTTTTTTTTTTTTTCTATTTAAAAAAATATTTTCTAAAGTCATTTCTCTGCCGGGTAATATGCCCTAAACTTTCTGTCCATCGACAAAGATTCCCACCAGTCATTTCAGGATATCTGCTGCTGCCACACCCATGGCCAGCTCACTCTGGGAAACCACCTTCCCCAAGACCAGAGGTTTGATTGTTAGTAAGCAGCGTCCTGCACATCGTATAATGGCTTCAGAGAACTAAAGGGTAGTAGTTCTTCCTCCACAAACCGACTGGCAGTTGTTCTGCCAGGAGTTTGGTCTGTGTGATGAACTTAGTCATTCTGAGACAGTGGGGCTTGTCATTTCCCCCTTCCAAAAGGAAGTGCCTTTATGCACTTGAAACTTTCGATGTGCTGTGCGGGTATTTTTGGAGGGTAGGGGACGTTTTGGGAAGTCAGGCAGATTACCTAAGTCAAATCATACTTGCACTTATGGTGAGTGAGGAATCTGTGGGCAGTGGAGGACAGACAGCTGACCCACCTGGTTGGGAACATTCACGGTGAGGAACCTTCCTCGTGTCTCACTGCTTTTCTCTTGTGTGGGGTGTAGGAGCTTGTCAGACTTACCATCGAGAAGCAGGGGCATCCATCTCCAACAAGCCCAGTGAAACCCAGTTCCCCAGCCTGCAAACCCGACGGGTGAGTGCTGACCAGACCCTCCAGTATCTGGGGTCACGGTTGATCTACACTTGAGAAAGAAGGGGAGCCAGGTCCGGAGCCCACATCAGGCAGGCCCTGTGAGGCCCACATTCCCTTCTCAGTGAATTCTGGGTAAGAACCTGCATTACTTTAAAGTGTGTGTAGCTCACACCCATTCTGAAGAATTGCCTGGTCTCCAGGTTAATAGTCAGCATGACCTTTTCTAAGGATAGTGTGTGATGTCAAAACCCACCTATACTTTTCTTGACCAGCTTCCTCCCATAATTAGAAAGAACTTTGAAGGGTTGGGTTTTAGGGGTTTGACTTGAGAGCATTTAACTTTATCAAGAAAGGAAACTGAGGGTGTAATGTGGACAGTTACAAGGCCTTGCAATAATTTCTACTACAAGCCCCTAGTGAAAATATAAAACCTACACTTGGAGCATTTTAGAACATCATCTAGTCCAGAGATTCCTCTTACAGATGAGGAAACTGAGGTGCAGAGGCAGGGGGACTTGGCCAAGCTTCTGCTGTTTGTGGGTGATCGAACCAGACTTGAAACCCCATCTCTGCCTTGGAGCCCAGGGCACAGTGTCAGCTCTGTGTCCAGGGCACCTCCGTCCCTGTCCCCCCATGACTTCCCTGCCCTGGTCATATCCTCACGCTCTCAGGACCTTCTCTGTGGCCTTCTGTAACCCCGAGTTCTCTTCAACTCTCCAGCCAGTCTGAGCTCCCCTTGACAGATCGAGAGATGGAGATTCTAAACAAGACGACCGGCCTGTCGCAGTCGGCCGAGGGGCTCCCAGATTCCACGGATGAAGAGGTCGCGCCCCCCAAACCCCCCTTACCTGGCATTCGTGTGGTTGATAATAGGTAATTTTCTGTTTTTCTAGCACCCTCCTCTACTTATGTCATAATTTCATGAATGGATGGGTAGGATGAGCCAAAAAGAAGACGGTGCCATTAGGGTCAGAACCTGCTCTTTAGGCACCTTGGCGGTTTGACCTTCCTCCGGAGGGGCGTCTCCAGAGGACGCGAGCCTGGCCCAGCGCCCTCCCTTGCCCTGCACCCTGAGAACTCCCAACCGCTTGCCTTTTAGCCTTAACCAAGCAAAAACTGGTACCATTTGTTACGAAAAGAAAAGCAAGAACTTTGGATACTAGTTTTTTGGCACTGATGGGATGGGAGTTGAAAGTGTGAAAAGCAGGTGTGAAGTGTCTGATAATGAAAGAACCCACCTCCCATACCCCAGTATCTGTTTAAAGCATTTTGCGGGGTGTCTGGTTTGATAGGGTTCCTTGCTCTGTTTCAGTCCTCCACCAGCATTGCCACCGAAGAAGAGACAGTCGGCTCCATCCCCTACCCGAGTGGCCGTCGTGGCCCCCATGAGTCGAGCCACCAGTGGCTCCAGTTTGCCTGTTGGAATTAATAGGCAGGTAATTAGCTCCATCTAGAAAGGCAGAGGAAGGCTTCAGGTCTGGGGATTTGGTTCCTGAAGCTGAGAGAAACCCAGTGGTCTTCAGTCCCTGGCGTTGGTCAGGAGGAGCTCTCCGCACTGGGGTGGAAGTTCCCTCACGGGGTGGGGAGGCCGGGACCGGCCCCAGGGCCTCCCTCGCACTGAGCTCTGAGCGCTGGCACAGGCCCTCTTTCTCAGGAGGCGCAGAAGTGGCGTTCACAGCCTACAGCAAAGACGGGCCTTTCCAGCAGGTTGCTGAGCCTGCCGGTATCTCCTTCTCCGAGTAAACGTACCGGCTCCCTCCCCTGGTCTCTGCCACCATTTCCCAGGAGTGACTTGGTTTGTTTTCGTTTCTGCCGGGAGGATTTTGACGTGGACTGTTACGCACAGAGACGACTGTCGGGCGGCAGCCACTCGTATGGCGGCGAGTCGCCCCGCCTGTCCCCCTGCAGCAGCATAGGCAAGCTCAGCAAGTCGGACGAGCAGCTGTCGTCTCTGGACAGGGACAGCGGGCGGTGCTCCCGGAACACAAGCTGTGAGACTCTAGGTGAGCTGCCGGCATCGTGGCCACCACTGCTGGCTCATCGTCTCTCCGGGGCTGTTTTGGGCTCAGACAGTGATGCCAGTCATTGGCTCTGTTGACCTTGGCCAAGTCACTCAAAATCCGAGCCTCAGTTTCCTCATCTGCAAAATGAGGCTACCAACGTCTGCCTCTGAAGGGGCTGGAAGTTCAAGTGGGGGAGCAGTGCGAAGCCCCATGGCAGCCGTTAGTTCAGTTAGCCTGCCAGTGTGCCGTTTGACTCCCATTGCCAGAATTCAGAGCCGTCTGTGCTCAGAGCCCCTGCCCACTTCTGACGGAGGGCGAAGGCAAGGGAGCTGGCCTCGGGCGGTGGGGCCCAGTGAGGGTCTGGCGTGCAGTTCGGCAGGAGGCCTACAGAGCACTGAGCTGTCCATGTCCCCACGAACTAGATACTTCACTTCTGAGAGTTTATCTTAAGAACATAATCAGAGATTTATGGCAAGATTTCTGTCCAAAGACATTAATCTCAGCATTATTAAGAGTAATGATGATAAACTGGAAAGAATCTACTACTCAGTGATAGGAAATCAGGAGACTTATGATACATTCATTTGGTGGAATAATACACAGCTGTATTAAAAACCAATTATGATATAGTGATCAGCGGACAAAATCCAAGACCACTTATATAGTGTTTTCTCAGAGTTTAAAAAGAAAAAAAAATCCAAGGGAAAAAAGACTTTTAAGGAAATATATCCAGTGGTAAGCAGAGATTATAGTTAGATTATGGGATTGTGGGTGATTTTTATTTTCTCAATAGGGTTTTTTGGCCACCTTTTCTACAGTGGTCATGCATTTTTCTTTTTTTAAGTAAGAAACTTTAAAAAATCCAGGAAAGTACAAAGAATTGGATAGCAAACAGTCAAATTCCCATCTGGTTTTACTTTTATAAGCAGGAGAAAAATGAAAAATATAAAGTAAAGTGAGAGTCTTTGCGGATGAGATGGGAGATGTGTTTTGGCCACTCTAAAGAGCAGCGCTGGGTCAGGGAAGAAGCGTGGGAGCTTTTCTTTCTGTGGGGGCTGGTGGCTCACAGTATGTTTCTCCTGTTGTGAACGCAGATCATTACGACCCTGACTATGAATTCCTCCAGCAAGACCTCTCTAACGCAGACCAGATACCTCAGCAAGTGGCCTGTAACCTCAGCCCGTTGCCAGAGTCCTTGGGGGAGTCTGGGTCTCCGTTTCTCGGCCATCCTTTCCAGTTGCCTCTGGGCAGCTGTCCCCAGCCAGAGGGGCCCTCGGCCCCAGGGCAGCAGATGGACGTGCCGCCTGCTCTTCCCGAGAAGAAGCGCAGGAGCGCGGCCTCCCAGATGGCGGACAGCTCTGGCTGCAGGGCGTCCTACGAGCGGCACCCCTCGCAGTACGACAACATCTCCGAGGAGGACCTGCAGAACCCGGCCTCGGTCCAGTCCATCCCCTTCACGCCCTTTGCTGCTATTCTTCCCTTTCAGCAAGGAGGTTCCTCAGCCTCTGTTGAATTTGTGGGTGATTTCACTGTTCCTGAATCAACAGGTGACCCAGAAAAACCTCCTCCTCTACCAGAGAAGAAAAACAAACACAGTAAGCTTTTGTTGAGCTATTGTCGGGAAGCACCTTTTGTAACCTAAAATGGTGTTTTATTGAAACATTAGATCAGAATCAAACCAGTGGCCTCGTAATTTCATAAAAGGTAGAACCACAGGTATGTGGACACTTACAGGAGCCTTGTGTTGTCAGTACTGGGAATCATTTCTAAAGCCTGATAAGCTGACCTCTCCTTTTGGTCTCGACAGAACCTCAGGTCTGGTCTCCACAGAGTATTTGGCCTCTTGTAGATGGCAGTCAGTTGACCTTCTGGCCCGAACACGTGGTGACAGAGAGAAACAAATATCACGGCATTACTTCTGGGTAAAGCAGAACAGACATTTGAATTAAAATAGCCCTGATCGCACCCACAGGGGTTTTCTAAGGCTCCCTGAAATGCAGGGGGCTGTTTAGCGAGAACCCTGGTACCGCTCTGTGTTCTGTTTGCAGACACTGAAATGTCACGTCACCACTTGGAATCTGAGATTGCTTGGTTGGAGTTGCTGAGGACACTTCTTGGACCAGATGATCTGATATATGATGTTATTAGGGCCCAGGGGTAGAGCTGAAATTTCGGATTTTTGTATTTTGAATATTTTCCAAGGTCCTAAGTAGAGTTCTGCAGGGATTTGCTTTTCTGCTGGCTCCCCGACTGCTCTGTGTTGCCTGTCTCTCTGCCCCGCCCTCTCCCCACGTCACCCGCACGGCTCTGCCTCATCTTCCCTGGGCAGACTGGCTGTCAGTGTTTCAGTATGTGTGTGGCCACATCAGCCCACAGCCCCAGGATTCCCTGGCCTCAGTGGAAACATCCAGCAGATGACTTCTGTGACCTGGAAGTTGAGAATCCATTCCAAATTCCCAAGTGAGAGCGTCTGACTGGCCCTGCCGAGAGCGGCCCGTTCTCAGAAGGGGAGACCTGGCCTTAGTTACCGCACTGGGTGTCGCCCAGCTTGTATAATGGCCTCGGTGGTATGGTCCCCCAGCTGGAGGGAGAGCTGGCTCTGTAGGGCTAATGATGTCGTTCCCGTCTGTCATGTAAGTTCACTCACTAGAAACCAGGCCGCTAGTAGAGGGAGCTGCAAGCAGCAACGCCAGGAACGTCTCCTTCTGCGCCTGTCTACACGCAGAGGTGTCTAAAGAGCCATGGGCCTCTCCCCTCCACCCACCTGGCCTGACTTGAGCAGCATGTCCTTGAGGGCTTGCACCCTTGCCTGTCCTTTCCTAGGAATCTTCTGGACCCAGGCCAAGAGCAGGCTTGCATCTGTGCAAACCACAGCAGATTTGTGGTGCCGCCTGGCTGGGGAGCCAGGAGCCTCGCCCTCTGAGCTCTTAGACCAGGTGTGGGCAGCCGGCTTCAGGCAGAGAAGAAAAGGAAAGGGGGAGGCTTCCGTTGTTGCCTTTTGAATAGCCTCAAGTCTCCTGTGGCTGAAAATATTTCCTATTAATTTAGGCATCCATTTCTAGGCTCTATGTCATCTGTAAACGTCTGTAGCTCTTGTGCCTGCAAACCTTTAAAATCTACTGAGCGCTTCCGGTGTGGCACCCTTGACATACTCTGACATACTCTGTCGTATTCGTCCTTACCAACCTCCTGGCTGGCCGGGTGTCATTAGCCCCCTTTTTATAGCTGAAGAAACTGGAGCTCAAAGGAACTGAGCCTCTGCCCAAGATCAGATCAGCAAGGAAGTGGGTGGCAGATGTGGGTTTCTGAGCAGTGTTTTCCTAGCTCAACTCACTGCCTCCCAGGCTGAGGAGGAAGGCCTCCCCCCACTTCCCTGAGCCCTGTGCCAGCTTACAGTAGGAACCCCTGCGCAGCTGGTGGCCTCCTCTGTGCCCTGTGAAAGGACCCCTGACTTGAGGCTCCCTGAGGCTCAGTCCTAGTCTCAAGTCTGCTCTTCACTTCCCGAGAGGACCCTTGAAGAGTTCCAATCTGCAGCCCCGTGGAAAACTCCTCACAGAGTTGCTTTGAAGGAAAGGAGGAGATAATCATCACCTTTATACTTGGCTAACGCTGGACAAAGCTTGTGCACGCGCAGCCTCGGTGTCAGAGAATATCCCCGTCCTTTGGGTTGCTCTGAGGGTCCCCGGCCCTGTGAGCCCCTTGTGCCAGACAAGCTTCCTCATCGCTGTCTGCCCATAGCCCCAGGTGCCCACTGGGCCTTCCCAGTGATGCCGGTGGCTGTAGTCTCTGGGCCCTTGTGCTGGGCTACCTTTGAAGTGGACTGGTCCTCCTTGATTCTAGAAGGTGGCGACCATCGCTGCTGCTTCTCTGTGCTTGGTTAGCAGCTCTCTACAAGGACCTCAACATCAAGGAGTTCATGGCGCTCCTGAAAAGATCGCAGCCTTGCTGAAGCTTTCGGTTTTGGTCAGGCAGAGGCGGTTGCATTCAGGCTCCTTAGGGAGAAATTCGTGGGCATTTGGGGTCGTCTTCATGGTTTGCATCTTGCCCTGGAACCCAGTGGTGTTGCTTGTGCAGTGTTAGAGAAAAGGCGATGTGGGGTTCCAGGGGGACTGCAAGCTGCGCTTCTCTTTGAGAAGCACCGGTTTTATGGGGGAAACCACCTTTTACAGCCAAGCTCCACTCTGTGCTTTCTGGAGCTGAGATGTTCTTACTGATTCCTTTAAATAAGGTAACTTTGAACCCCTCTTTCAGTGTAGGGTGCTAGAAAGATGTATTTCCTGTCTACCTTGACCCCATTGAGGTACAGAGAAGAAAAAGACCATCTCCCTACCTTCACGGCTGCCTTCCCCAGCAAAGTATCTCTGTCCTTTCATTTCTGACTGGTTTAGGTCTCCAGTTAAGCCCAACTTTCTGGTTATTTGAAAATACGAAGTTAAGCCCTGCAAACTTGTTCTTGCCATGGTTTCTTAGTATCTGAACTTTGGCTTCACCTAGCAGGTGCTCGCATCCCTTCACCTCCCTCTTAGTTCGTGCGCGGTAACTCTGTAAATAAGTTAGTACTTATTTCTGACGCAGGTATTGAGGGGCGCAACGGTGCCTTTCCCTCCAAACACGCGTCTGTATAGAGGATGCCCTAACACCCAGGAGCTTCCTCCGCTACCTAGAGAAGGGGAAGGGCGGAGCAGTTCCGGCCTGCCTTGACCTCGACTTTGTGACAGGGAGTGGAAAGTGCGAGATCCCATCCACACAGGTAGATTGGGGTTGGAGAAAGGGCTTCTGCTCCAGTCCAGCCTCACAGCTACGGACACCAGATGACGGCTCTGTCAGGTCCAGACTGTCATTTCTCCCAGAACCCTCTGGAGTCTTCAGAAAGGCCTGGCTCAGAAGATGGGGCTTGGATCACTAACCTCCAAAAGTCAGAAATAAAGTATACACTGATGCCCTCACGTGAGGGCTGAGGGCTTCACACCTGCCGCGGAGCCGCTGTCTGCGGCCAAGGGCTCCGTCGGTGGCGCCACACTGCCGGTGAGGGAGCCTGCCTGCTGTGCGGGCCCCGCAGGTGCAGGCAGCTGCGCCGTGAGGCCGCAGCTCCGGGACAGATGGCCACAGTGGCAAGGGCTAGGACTGCTTTTTTTTTTTTTTTTTTTTAGCATCTTTATTGGAGTATAATTGCTTTACAATGGTGTGTTAATTTCTGCTTTATAACAAAGTGAATCAGCTATACATGTATCCCCATATCCCCTCCTCCTCGCGTCTCCCTCCCGCCCTCCCTATCCCACCCCTCTAGGTGGTCACAGAGCACCGGGGCTAGGACTTCTTAAAGGGCTTGTAGAGAGGAGGATCCTTATGTTTCAATGTGAGCACTTCTTTTCTCACTATTCATCCCTCTGTACAGAGGATGTTCCATAGAACCTCTGGGCTTGGAGGGGGAGAACTGAGCTTAGTGACTGTTATTTCTCGCCTACCCAGCGGGTGCTCTGCAAGACCCACCCCCGGGGCTGCAGCCTGGTTCAGCAAGTCACTGAGCAGGGACAGATGCGGGAGGGACATGCGTTCTCTTCATTCATTCATCCTGTAAATATGTGTGGACACCTACTGTGTGTTAGGCACCGCTGATACAGCAGCCGACAGGACAGACAAGGTCCCTGCCCTCCTGCAGCTTCAGCTCTTGAGTGAGAGGCAGTAAGTCCTGTTGCACCTGCTTTGGAGATTCTTCCTGAACCAAACCACTCTCACCCCCACCCCCACCGCGGCCTTTCACCTGAGCAAGCACAGCCGCCCAGAACCGTCTTCCCAAGACGAAGCAGCTCCGGGCACACCCGGGGTGGGGGTGGGGGGCTTCTGTGGGTTCCTGCCGACTCAGCATCAAGCCCGCTTCCTTACCCCGTTCACACAGCCCCATGCAACCTCCTGGGTCATCCCTCTCCCCTCACCAGCTGTGCTCTGCTCACTGGACCCTCGTCCTGGCTGTGGACCTCTGCCTGGCCGGGAAGACTCTTCCACCCATCCTCACCCTTATTCTAGAGAAGCGCCCCCATCGCCACCCCATTTCACTGTCCTCCATGGGACATGCATACCGCACCTCGGCCTGTTTTCTGTCTCCCTGGGGAGGGTGTGAGCGCCACGCAGGCAAAGGATTCACTTTGCTGGCCCCTGTGTAGTCCCAGCACCTGGGTCAGTGCCTAACACATAGTAGGTGCTCAGAAAAATCAAACAAATGAGAAAAGCCCAGCTAGCTCGTGACACACAGTGGGAAGGCCTCCGAAGGAAGGGAACGTGGGGCTGAGGAGGGGCTGCTGGGGCAGAGCCAGGGGTGAGAGGCCTCCATGGAAGTCAGGGAACCTGAGCCCGAGGCCCAAAGGAGGGAAAGAGTCGGGCCTGGCAGCGTAGCAGCAGGGTTGCGGGAAGAGCAGCTGGAACAGCGCTGTGGAAAGCCCCGAGCATGGTCCAGGAACTGAAAGAGCCAGAGGAGCGGGCAGCGTGCACTGGGCGCCCGCTGTGCCCTGAGCCCTGCGCACGGGCCACGACCACGGCCCTGGAGAGGCTGGAAAGCCCCGAGGGCTTCTCAGCACGGAGTGGAGTGCCCCCTACGCCTTTCTAAAAACAGACTCTATTCCCTAGAGCGGTTCTAGGTTCCCAGGGACGTTGAGCGGAAAGTACAGGGAGTTCCCATAGATCCTTGCCCTCCCTCCCCGCACACACGGCTCCCCACCACCACCCCCGCCCCCCGTCGCCACCTCCACCGTGACCCCCCGTGACACGCCATGGTCGCCGAGTCAGGGTTCACATCGCCTTGACACGGGTGTCCGCGTGGTAGTGTCGCACAGAGTGGGCTGTCCGGGCCCTCACCCTGGCCGCTGTGAGGGGGTAGGGTGGGGGTCTGTGCACGGCGGTCTCCAGCCCAGTGCCCCCCTGTGTCCGCAGTGCTGGCCTACATGCAGCTGCTCGAGGACTACTCGGAGCCACAGCCCTCCGTGTTCTACCGGACGCCGCAGAAGGAGCACATCTACCAGCAGAAGAACAGGCTCCTCATGGAGGTGTATGGCTTCAGCGACTCTTTCAGCGCCGGGGATGCCCCGCAGGAGCTCGCCCCGCCCCCCGCCCTGCCCCCCAAGCAGCGGCAGCTGGTAAGCGGCCCCTCCCGGGTGCCCCTCGCTGTTCCACCCCCAGCAGCCAGTCTCTCATCCTGACGGGTCTCTAGGAACTGGGATGGTCCTGGGGCAGGTTTCGGCACCTCTCCTTCCGAGCCAGGGCTCTGGGCCATGCTCTCGTGCCCTCGCTGCGGCCTGTCTCCTGCTGCACCATCTCCCCACCCTGGGGGGTGGCACCTTTCTTTTCCAGAGCAGCCCCTGCAGCTGGGGCTGGCTTGTACTCAGAATGTTTGCTTTCTCTGTTGACGGTCCTTTTTCTCTCTTCTTTGGCTCCAATATAGACCTCCCAGAAAGGAGGGACTCAATCAGAGCACAGGGCACGGTCTGTGTAGGGCCATCTGTGGACTTGATTTACATAATGGGCCTCACTCTGCCCAGTGATTTAACACCCCGCCCTGGCCGGTGATGGCCCAGTGAGAACCAGCTCTATTGAAGCAGGATGGCTTTGCACAGAGCCGCTTTGTGTTTCAGGCATGGCGCACCGTTCCTCCTTCAAAAACCCCTCCTGTGTAAGGACTCCGTGTAGGTGGCACAGAGGCAGGCTGTCCAGCCGTGGGCAGGCTGTGAAGCTCTGGGACCAGACGAGGGGCACGGCGGGTGCGCCTCTCAACCCTTTTCTCTTTGCCACCAGTTTACTAACTGAGTGGGCTCTGGTCAGGGTGTGGAATCCAAATGTCCCATCCAGCCGTGTTCTCCAGGAAAGGAGACCCGACTTTATCAGAGCTGCATGTGCTGTCTTGCTCTTACGCTGGTCAATTTGGTAGTGATTTAACCAGCGAGGGGCCCAGCGTGGCTGGCCAGGCCGCCTTTTATCCATTGCGAGAGGACGTGAGGTACTGCCCCGACTTTTCTGGGAGGCAGCTGCCGACCGGACGACAAAGGCCCCTGGGTGACTCCTCGAAACTGTCTGGGCCTCAGCAGTGCTGTGATTGGGCCTCGAGCATGCCTGGCCCCAGGCATCCCCGAGCCTTCCTACACTCAGCGGGCTCTGGGGCTGGCCCCGCAGAGCCACAGCCAGCCTCTTGGGGGACAGCCTGGTCTAGTAGAGGAAAGGCCAGGCTCGGGCTGGGAGTCGTGGGTCGCAGTTTTGCCACCAGCTAGCTGTGTTTCAGCAGTTGTGCTCAGGGTCTTAGTTTTTCACCTGTCCTGGTCACCCCACAGACACCTGAACATGCCCGAATATGAACAGAAATTGAAAATTGATTCTAGGATTTCAAGAAGAAATTGTCACCACAGAAATATAAATGCCTGCCCCCGGGACCTCTGACCTAAAATGTTTGGTTGGACAGCTGGGCCAGTTAGGTTGAAATGTGAAGTTTTCTCATCCCCTCCTGCCGGAGTGCACGCGTGCCTGTCGGCCGGCCTTGGGCATCTTCTCTGTATCGTGTAGCCCATAGGTGTCAGAGCACTGGGGAGAGATCCCTAAGGAGCGCACGCGAGTCCCAGCCCGCCTGAGAGAGCTGTCAGACGGCCTCACCTGTGGCAGGGCGGCGGTGAGGGCAGCTCTGGGGAGAGGCCTGCCGGGGGCCCGGGAGGTGGGCCTACACCCTGTTAAACAGCGCTCTGAGTGAGCACCGGGGCTTTCGTATGGTGTCGCACGATCCTCCCCACGGCCCCTGGCACCCCCATTTTAAGTAAACTGAGGCTGAGAGAGCTGGAGAGACTGACTCAAAGCCCACTGCCAGAAGTGGAAGATTTGGGAGCCATGCCCAGCTCTGACTGAAGCCCAGGCACACGTGTGCCATGCCCTGTGCCAGCTGCTTGGCATCCCTTCTCCAGGGCAGACGCAAGAAGTGTGACCCCATTTTTCCAGACAGAAGTGAGAGTGCTGGTTACACCTGCTGGCCCGCGTGCGCCGAGGGAGGCTGGTTCTAAGTGCTTTCCATGCATACCGCCCAGCACCGTGTTCCCCACATCCTACAGATGACAACCTGGGGCACAGAGAGCTTTGAGTAATGCCCAGGGCCAGGCAGGTCACGAATGGCGGGGCTCAGATTAAACCCAGGCAGCCTGGCTCCCCCTCTGCACTCTGCTGGAGCACAGCCACCCCACAGAGGGGGGTCTGGGACCCGAAATAAGGGGAAGAGCAGGGACTCACCCAGGTCTGCGTGGCTCTTCCCACCTTACCGCCACTTCCAGCGGACCCAGAAGTGAAGAGGGCGCCCACTCACCCAGGTCACCTTTGGCAGGCGTCCTTAACCCCTGAGCTGGGCTGGGAAGCCATCCCTCTCCAGAATGTCCCAGCAGAGTCGGGTAGCAGCCTGTTTAGCCTTTACGTGTACATGCCTGACTGTCCTCTGCTTTCCCCCTCCTTCCCTGTCTTCTCTCTCCTTCCTCTGTCCAGCAGGCCTCCTATGCTGCTGCTTCCTTCTCCTCTGTCTCCTACTGTGTCCAGCAAACTAAAGTGGCCTTCACTCCCGAGGACGGCAGTGCCGCTCAGGGCATCAGTGTGTCCGTCTCTAACTCCTTTCTCAGCCGGCACGGCAACTTACCTGTGCCCTCGGTGAGTCGCTCCCTGCTGCTCGCTACTGGGAAACTGGTGAGCGAGATCTTTCCCTTGTCGCTCCTGCCTCCCGACGTGTGTGCTGCTGCCCATCGCCGGCTCTGTCTCTCCGCAGGCCCCTGCACTAGATGGGAAAGGGTATGCGTGGTTGGCTGGCTGTGGCCCAAAGGACTGTGTGAGCCGGTGGGATGGGGATCATTAGCGGCCACACTTGGAATGTCATCACCCAGGCATAAACTGGCAGGGATGTCTTGGCCTTTTTATTCCATTCTCACACTGGGCCTTGGGTCAGCCCTGTAGTGTTCTGTGTTTAAAAAGGAATAGTCCTCACGTAGGAAGCAAAGCCCCGGAGAGCAGGTTATACCCAGCATGACGGAGTTTGAGTTTGAGAGCTGTATCAGTTAGCTTTTGCTAACTCTTGCTACGTAACGTACCACCCCAAAACTTTGTGGCTTAAAGCAACAGCAACTGTGTGTCATTGCCTAGGACACAGCTTCGAAGTGTGGCTGTGCTGACGCAATTAATCTGTTCCAGTGACACTCCGGATGTCAGGGGAAAGAACTTGGCAAGGGGGCACATTTGGCCTCCACTTAAAATCGGTTTATCCTCCCCAGGCCTCAATTTCTGTCCTTTGGGATTGTACTTTTCCTTGCCTCTTATAGTAGTTCATGAATGGGAGGATTAAGTAAAATCACAGGAGACTTCCAGGCACACAGTAAGCCTAGAAAGTTTATTACTATTGCACTTTCTCTTAGAGTTCTGGACTCTGGTCTTGGCTCTGCTCTGATTCTGTACAGGAGAGCTTGGGCAAGTGGCTTAACCTGCTTGCACTTCCCTTTCCCTCTATGAATGACAAGGTTGACCTGGTGACTTTTGGAGACCTCTCCAAGCTTGGGTTCCCAGTGTGGTCTCGTCCAGTTTCCGTATTTGGGAGCCATCCAGCGCCCGGTTTAAGCTGCACCTGCCCGTTGTGAGGCCCTTGGGGCGCAGTCCTCCCTTCAGTGTGCTAGGGCCTAGCTTTTTAGAGCCCGCACCAACCATACGTGCTGTAGAAAGGCTAAACACCACTCGCCCCACCCCCAGCCCTGCCCTGGTGCACAGACGCCCTCTGTTTCCTCAGCACGCACCTCTGGCAAGCTCCTTTCACAAATCTTGCTAAACTTGGCTTGTAGACAATCCCAGCTCTTGACAGTTTCCCCCCTCTGTGAACAGAAAGGAAGTGTGGGTTTTCCTAAGGGTGTCTACAATATCCCTTTTGAGTAGTTTGGGGTAGAAGACTGTCAGTGCATTGGACTGTTTACTATGGAATTAAAGAAAATTTGAGGGCATTTTAATTAAGTTTGGGTATGAGTACGTCGTGGCTATCAGCCCTGGCACGTAGGGGAGTCTTACGGCATCTTGCAGCAGAAATGTTGTGTTGTCAGCGGCAGCTCCACAAAGGAGCCTGAGGGGAGTGAGCTAAGAAAGGTGCTTTATTTCACTTAAAGGAAAGTCCCTCCAGGCCTCAAGAGCTGTTGGTAATGGCCTAAATGTGTGCAACACTTGACATTTGAAATGCTGAAACCCCGGAGAAATGATTTAGTGTAATACCAGCGTATTCTTCGTATATTCTCTGCTACGTTCTAAGATGAGCCCCAGACAGAAGGGCTTTGACATGCTCTCAGAGCAGCCCTTTATTCCCGAATGTCCCTGGGCCTGTGTCGTCAGTCCAGCATGGAATTCCCAAGGGTTGCCTCATAGGAATACAGCAGGTGCCAAATCTGAAGACACCTCACACAGTTCTTGGTCCAGTGACCTGTTACTTCTGCCATGTAACAGGAAGATTGAAAACCTTGCCAAGGGAATTGTAGAGCAGTACATCTGCATTGCTCAATGTAAAATGCAGTAGGTGCTGAAAAAGCATTCTTGTTCCCTCTTCCCAGGATCCCAGGGTAAGTTTAATTCAATAAGCATGGAGCCTCTCCTAGTGCGGGTCAGGCAGCAAGAAGGACCCAGAGCGGGTAGGGTGGCCCCATCATCCTCGAGCAGCCCTTGCAATTGCGTAGGCAGAGTAAGCCGGGCATAAAAGAGACTCCGGCCCGGGCAGGGTGTGAGTAACAGCGCGCGAGTCGCAGACGGTCTGTGGAGCCGGGACAGAGCCAGGCGGCGCTTCGTGGGGAAGGGGCGCTTGAGTGGTGGTGTGAAGGACAGTTAGGATTTCAGGGAGATAAAGGTCAGGGAAGTCTAGTCCAAGTTGTTCCACACCGAGGGCCCTGCCTGAAGATGAGGCCGGGAAGGCCTGGCATACATTCTGGAAGGAAGATTGTCTCAAGTATAAGCACGCAGGACTGAGGTCCTGGGTGAGTGGGCTGGAGGGTAGTGACAGTTCCAGCCCTTCCACGTGTCCTGCCCCTTACCCCAGACCAGCTGCTCCCCAAGCTGCCTTGTGGGTGCGGCCCTCCGGGGCTCAGGCCGGTCTTGAGCTCTTTCCCCACTTGTGTGCCAGACGCGTTCCTGCTCCCGTTCCTGCCTGGCGCCCACCCTCCTCTTCGCGGTCTCCGGCTGGGTCCGCTTAGTCCCCCGTCCACAGACTCCCTGTCCTTCCCGCCACGCGCTGTGATCCTAGGAGACGCGTAGCCAGACTGACGTGTGGTGTCCAGGGTATTAAGACCAGTTTGATAGGAGAAGGCGTTCAGGGAAACGATGAGTGACCGTGAGACCAGAATGACGTGGAGGGCTAGGTGCAGCCTCCCCCGGGCTGGGAGGCCGACGCCCTCATTCCTGTTCTGATTGTGCTGGGCCTTGCAATGGGCCTGCCCCTTGGTGACACTGGTAAGGGTTTGAGTGGCGGGCCCTCCTAGAAACAGCTCTCAGACGTGGTGCTGGCGTCTGCTTCTGTCCCTGGATTCTCCTCCATCACTTGTACCCCCTGGGCTGCCTGCCCTGTTCTCACTGCGGCCCAGCCTGTGCTGGCTGCCCGCCTTCCACCTCCACCCGCTTCTCGTCCCTCCAGCACCAGCCCTTCCCCCCCTCACCCTGAAGTCCCACGTGCCGTTTCCTCACCATCTCCCTCCTCTGGCTTGCGTTTTCTGTCATTCTGAACCCTAGTGGTGCCAATCTTGAAAGTTTTGGGTCGGGTCCATATTCACCTTACCCTTGACCGAGGTGTTACTGAGAGTCTGTCAGTAACCGTTGGGGTTGCCAGTGCCCTCCAGGTATTGCAACGGCGACGTTAGAAAACTCCGCCGTCTCCTGAACTATTTTCTGGTACATCCTTTCTTTGCCAACTGATATTTACTATCACCAAGAGATCTGTCTGGATGCTAGGAATCTGTTGAAATACTTGCTTTACCATCTTGGCTTCCGAAATGATTCTGGAGAAGTAAAACTACTAGAAGACCCAGGTTTTAAGAAGAACTTCAGAAATACCCATAATAACTGTCATCTGTTTTTAAAAATCTTTCGGGTAACAAAGTCAAGGGTGTGTCATGTTGAGGACTTCAGTTTAAAGGGGGGAGATGTGTGGAGCCGCTGACAGTGACTCTCTGAGGGCTGGGCGCAGGCTCTCGTGCCGCAGCACGCGTGTCCTTCAGGGCCCAGCCGGGGGAGACTCGCTCTGTCCGGCCCCCTCCTCGACCTCCCGTCACAGGCATCCCGGAGACCAGGGCACTCTGACAGGTCTGGAGGCCAGACGGGGAAGGGGGAGGAGGCGGGAAAGAAGAGACGATGGAGCCGGGTGAGAAAGGGATTGTGGGCCGGAGTCACGAGTGGGCCGGCCGCTCAGCACGTCCTAGCACACAGCGTGTGCCCTCCTGCTGGGAAAAATGTGTTCCTGCCTCCCGTGCCTGCCTCTTGTTTCTTCCTGCTGCCACCTTTCTCCTTATGGCTTCCTGCCCTGCTTAGAGAGAACTCAGTCTGAGAGAAGAGGGCGTGTCCGTGGGCAGCACTGGGGCCAGGGACGGGCAGGTGTGTCCCCGAGCTGACCTCTCCTGGGGGGCGTTGTTCCGTCGGCCTGCCCGACTCTGTGGGCTTTCCTGGAGAGCAGCCCCGGCGCCATCAGCATCAGGCAAGCCAGGGCCATGCTGCCGCCTGCCAGAGAGTCTCTGCGGGCGCCTCTGCGGCTTGCTGCGGCCCAGGCAACCCGGGGGCCACTCAGGTGCCCGGAAGCCGTGGACTCTCAGGCTCTGCCCCATTTTGGGGGGCCTCACCACGGAGCGTAGTGGGCAGGTGCTGGTGTCTCCTCGCTAGACTCTGGGCCCCCTGGGATTAGGGATCCACCCCCGCCACACGCCTGCCTCGCGGGACGGGCCAAAGCCCTCGGCCCCCCGTCCTGGTGATTTCTGTGCATGTTCCCCCCGTCCACTGAGTTGCCCAGGTGAGAACTGAGCTCATCGTGTCCCCCCAGCCCCACGTACGCGCCTCGTTTTCACGGGACACGTGCACACCCAGTCACCAAGCCCTGTGGCCCGTCCCGTTGCCCACCCCACGCTGGTCCTTCTCTCCACCCCATCACTGCCCCCGGTGTGGCCACCGTGGCCTCCTTTCCAGTCTTGCCGCCACAGCCGGCCGCCCTCCTTCCCCGCAAAGCAGCACAGGCAGACCGAAGTGTCACCCCGTCCCTGCAGGGCCAGGCCGCCCACCTGTCCCGGGCCCCGCCTTCCCTCCGCTTTCTCCTGCCCCCCTCCCACCCCACCCCCGGGCTTCTCTCCTCTGTCCCGGCCCTTTCCCACTCCCCCAATCCCTTCCCCACCAGGCTTTGTCCTTACTTGCTGCGTGGACCTGAGCATGCCACCCCAGCTCCGCTTCCTCCTCTGTCACTGGGGGCGTGAAGTTGTCGGGAGGATTAAAGGGCAAACACACATAAAGAGCATAATGTAGTTACTGCAAGATGCACACCGGCATTCAGTAAAAAGGGAGGAATTATCACAGTGTTGCCGCATTGGGTGGTTTTTCTTTCTTCTGCAATGCTCAGGCTCTTTTTCTCTGCGAGTGGGGATTGGGCTTTTTATGTTCTTGGACCT